TTCTGGGGCAAATGCCTGTAACTCCAGCACTTGGGAGACTGAGGCAGGAGGATAATAAGCCCACACTTGTGGACACAAATAAAGAGTTCAAGGTTACCCTGGACTACATAGTGACAATTGTCTGAAAAAAAAGAAAAAAAAAAAAGCCAGCCAGCCATAATCTTTACCTGTAACATTTTCATAAATCATATTAAATCTTTCCTAGTAACTATACAGTATAATTTAAGCATTCCAGTGAAAGGTTACTCAACATACATTACACATACAGACCACATGACTTATTATGCAATAACTCCCAGAATATTTAACAAAGGATATTACTTAAAGAAATCAGAAGACTAGAATGTAGGGGTCTTATTGGTGGAAGGACCAGGAGGGATTGAACTTAAGGCCTTTGTACTGGGCTACATCCCCAGCCTTACATTTTTGTATTTGAGACAAGGTTTCATTGAGGTGCTAAATTACCCAGGCTGGGCTTAAATCCTCCTGCCTCAGTCTCTCCAAGGATTGGGATTACAGAAATGTGCACCTCACCTGGCTTTGGAGTGTTTGAAGAGGGATGTTTCTTTTCCCAACATTTAAATATTACATATATCAAACGACTCCTTATAAGATAATAGGTGAAATGAGATATCATTTCAGTAAATCTTTTTCTCTGTAACTAAATACCCTAATGTTGAAGTGCACCAAACCCTATAAGTACATAATCTGGCTTCACAAATCTTTTGAGCAAGATAAATGACATTTATTCAATCTCTCTCGACATGTTTGCAACAGGGCCAAAATCTGTGTACCTTGCTGCTGGACAGCTTCAACCACCCACAGTATAGGGTATCCATGACTGTCCTATCAGGCAGCTTTTTATTAATTTTATTAGTAACTAGACCAATAAAAGTGATGGGTGGGGGGCCAGGGAGGTGGCTTAGTAGAATAAGCACTTGCCTGGCAAGCACAAGGGCCTGAGTTCAACCCCTGGTTCTGCAAAAAAAAAAAAGTGATGAGTGGGGTGGGGAGATAACTCAGTGGTCTAAGCACCAGCCTGGCAAGCACAAGGGCCAGGGTTCAATCCCTTGTACCGCAAGCCATGCCAGCCTCAGAACCCGGGGCACACAGGTGTGGTGGCACACACCTGTTATTCCAGCACTGGGGAGGCTGAGACAGGAGGATAACTATGAGTTCGAGCTGCATAGCAAGACTCTGTACCAAATAAATAGATACATGGTATTTTCTTTAAAAAGTGCTGAGATCTGTTTTACCTACCACTTACGGTGTAAGCAATGTGATCAGACAGCCACGCACAAACTGCCAGTGGTTCAAGCCAGCAGGCACTATTAAGGTAACTGTACTGACATTTAAATTTGATACATCTGTATTTAACTATCCAATCACATTTTATTTACTTACAAAACATTAACTTTTTACAAAAATAACTGACTTTTTTGTATCTGGGAACTTACTTGGTGAATCTGAATGACCAATTTACAAAGTCACACAAAATGTTCGACACATGCTTTTTTTTTGGTGGAACTGGGGATTGAATTCAGGCCCTTGCGCTTGCCAGGGAAGCGCTTATTCCACTGAGCCATCTCCCCAGCCCCCTACACATGCATTTTTGTAGGGTGTGTGTGTGTGTGTAATTGAATTCAGGACCTTGCACTTGCCAGCCCACACATACATTTTTTATTTTTGTTGACATGTCAAACATTTCTTACAAAATATAAAGAATTGTGCATTTGGTTTTTAAGAAACATTACTGTCAATTTTACTACTTTAGATGCACTGTTTTCTAAAACTCTAATTTTAATCTTTTGATCACTATCCTTTTCTTAACCTTCAATATATTCTGTAAGACTCACTGATTACAGTCTGATGTTTAATTTTTTTTTCTTTTTTGAGACAGAGTCTTGCTATGTAGTCTAGGCTGGTCTCAAATGATAATCCTTTCACCTCAGCCTCCAAGTGCTGGGACTACAAGTGTGCACCACCATGCCCAGCTGAAGTTTAAATAAAGGGCTGAAATTTATCAAATTATCACCTTCAGTATTTTAAAAGGCACCAAGTACAGACCAGTTTTTTATTTAAATTACTATTTTAATTGATAAATCCTAATTATATATATTCATGGGATATAAAGTGATATTCTGATTCACATATATAACATAGATGATTAAATTAAAAAATCCCCACCTTCTTTGCAGTGACAGCTTTATTTCTCTTAACAAAACCTACCACCAGGTTGTGGTGGTCAATGCCTGAAACCTCTTGACTCTGGGAGGGGAAGGCTGGAAGGGCAACTTAGTGAGATACTATCTCAAAATGAAAAAGAGAAAAAGGCTGTGGATATTGCTCAGCATAAAGGTTATGGATTCAACTCTTGGCATACCAAAAGAAAACAACAACAAAAAGCCAGGTGTGGTGATGCAGGCCTATAATCCCAGCAGTCGGGAGGCCGAGGCAGGAGGATCCATAGGCGTTCCAAACCAGCCTGGGCTATAAGTGAGTTCAGCGTCAGCCTGAAGTACACAGCAAAATCCTGGCTTAAAAAAAAAAAAAAAAAGAAAGAAAGGAGGGCCTGCCAAATAGTTCAGTGGATTAAAGCACCCGCAAGCAGGAACAGACAGTGCCAGTCCCACCTCCCCAGGGTGTGCTGAGACAACTGGCAGGCGCCTGTAATCCCAGCTCCTAGGAGGCTGTAAACAGGCATATCACTATGAGTCTGATAGTAGTGAGACCCTGAACACCCTGTAGACCTTTCCCTAAAAAAATACCAAAAAAAAAAAAGGAGACAAAAAGAAGGAAAAAAAGAAAACCTACCCATACTATTATAATTCAAAAGGATAGCCTAATACTAATAGTGGAGCCAGAGGGTTACTGTGAATTGAACAGCTTTGCAGAAGTTTTCACAAGGCTATTGAATAATCTAGTGCAAAACTTGGGGAACATGTCAATATACAAACCATAAAGCCACCACAGTGGTCTACGTTAGGATAGGTCCTAGAAGTACCTTTTCACTACTTCTGCCTTTCTGCATTAAATGGTTAGAGCCACTATAAATAAATTATCTCTAATCTACCCCTCTGGGCAGGCATGGTGTTAGGCACTTAACATCTTTCAGCTACTTAATCCTCAGAACAACACTGTAAGAAACACTATCATCTGCATTTAACATATGAGAAAGCGAGGACTCAAAGGGGACACAAGGCTGCTCAGCTGCTGATGCAGATTTCAATTCCAGAGTAGCTTGACATCAAAGTACACACTTACATTAAGATATACTATGTATAACAATAAAAACCATATAACCATAAAAATCAAATTTCTCAAAGATTTATTCAACGTTGTTAGGTTCTCTGTGCATAACTACTGCTCTGAAACAAATAGTTGATTGTAGAACACATTTCTCTATACTGTAAATCAATTCAAACTTCATAAAGGGATAGGATTTACAAAATAACTAATTCTTACCTCAAAGCAGTATCAGAAAATTTATTCTACTCAAGCTAAGTAAAAACTCATTTTTTCCATATAGTATAAAGGTACATTTTTTTGGTTTGGTTTTTGTTTGAGACGGTGCTATGTAGTCTGGCTTATCCTTGAACTCACTATATATCCCTGGCTAGCCTCAAACTCTTAGCAATCTCCTTGCCTCAACTTCCTGAGTGCTGAGGTTAGAGGCACACGCAACCAACCACACCCTGCCTCCATATCATATAAAAGCTCTAATATGAGTACATTCCCTAATGTTTGTTTTTCTTTATTAAGTGGCACTCTTAGTGATTCCAAGAAAAAAAAAAGATATTACAAAAGGAGAACATAAGTAAGCATTTTTCTTAATACTGTACTTATATGAAACAGTCTTCAAAAGCTTTGGATTTCTAATCTCTTTTTCTCCAGGTCTTACTCACCCTGTTGCTCTATTACAGCAAAGACTAAGAGTCACAAGTCATCTATTTTCTCCAACAAGGCATCCGTGTTTGAATCATTCATGAAACCAAACCAGTCAGACAGCCTGTTAAATAAGGATTTCAACAGCCATCTAAAAGGTGTAAGAAGCGCTGCCACCTCTCTTTGGAACAGTCCCAAAGTTCATCCCTGGCAAGCAGAAACTATCTTCAAAGACTCAGAGCGACTTTTGGCGTCTAGGTCAGGACTGAAGACAACTCTTTCTCTCTTATTTTCCTCCAACCAAAGAGAGAAAACTGAATAACCATCCTGTACTCAACCGAGGCTCAATAAACACTACATTTCATAAATTCTCCTACAATCTTCCTCCCAGACACCCATTCCCTGAGCTTGGGGTAAGATTTTCTCCCAGTCTCTTTCCTCCTCTTCGAGTGAAAAACGCCTAACTACTCTTTTTGCAAAATAAAACTTAATGCTTACTGCAGATCCACCTTAACAACTCGTTTAAAACAATGAGCTCTGGAAGACCAAAGGCTTCTCCTCGACTTAATAACTACTATGGGCTAGTAGCGTGAACTAGGCGGAACTGTTTGTTCCTCCCTCCTCCCTGGCTTCTAAACACAGCAATCAGTTTGGCCTCTGCCTCCAGCAAGAGTGAAAATGATTAAATCGGAAGGGTCCAGCGGCCCACAGCGCTCAGGAAGGCGCCCACACCGGGCTCCCGCTTTCACAATGGGGCTCTTCGTCTCAAGTGGCCACTTGCAAGAGGCTCTTCATTCTATTGCTTTCTCAAAAAGGACGGACTCGCCAAAATCCCACAGACCTGGAAGGAAGTAAAACACAACACCCCACCCCCACTCTAAAAATGTGACAAGCTCCTCTTAACCCTTCCCGGGCACCCGCCGAGAAAGGCACAGCACACTCAAGGCTAAATGGAGTCAGCCGCCGCCCTCGCCGCCAGCTCGCGGGCAGCTCCCAGCCCGGCCGCGGGGTGACAGGCGCGGCCCGCGGCGCCCAGGCAGGGCCTAGGTCCGCCGGGAGGGAGGCGCCCGGCCGCTCGCCGGCTGCGGGGCGAGGCGGGAGCGGGCGGCGCTCACCGCGATGACATTGACGAAGGTGGTCTTGCCCGAGTACTGCAGCCCCACGAGCGTGAGCTCCATCTCCTCCTTCCAGAAGAGCGAGCGGAACCAGTCCAGCAAGCGGGAGATGAGCGCCAGCATGGTGACGGCCTGCAGACGGGACACGGGGGAGGACGGGCAAACAGCGCAGGCGAAGACCTGCGCACCACCGAGCTCGGCCTGGACCCCTTAACGGCTCTTTGGAGCCCCGGAGCGCCACGGGCACACACGGGCGGGCGGCGGCAGCCGGAGCCAGGAAGCCGAGCGAGTCATATGACTCGCCCTAACCCCCACGCCTGTCCTCGTCGCCGCGGCTAGCGGTGACGGCAAGAGCGGCTCGACCCGCCTATCCAATAGAATCCGCCGCCTGCAGCGCCGCCTGGTGGTGAAGGATCGCAGCGGGCTCTGCCAGCCTTCTGCAGGGGCCTCCTATACTACTCATTCATTGTGGATTCATTACTTGTTCATTTGTTCATTCATTCACTTATTAACTTATGCAATTTTTCTATAATTTTTAATTAACACTGTACTCTAGGAAGACTTTAGGATAGTGAGGGTCAGCATAGAATATAGTCTCTGTCCTGTTTTATTTTTTTCTGTATTTTAGGGAAGGGTCTACAGGGTGTTCAGGGTCTCACTACTAGATCGGACTCGTAGTAATTCTCCTGTATACAGCCTCCCAAGAGCTGGGATTACAGGCGCGTGCTACTGCGCCCAGTCTCATTTACCATCTCAGTACCCACGGGGATGGAGCCGGCACCGCAGGCCCAGGGATGGAAACCCCGGCCCCTGCGCCTGCGTGCAGGCACTTTAATCCTCTGAGCTATTTGGCCTTCCCTTATGTCCTATATTTAAGAGAATAACAAAAGAAAAGAAGCAGAAAGTGTGTGAGTCCTCCCAGACCAATAGTGTATGACTTTCCATCTTTTGCACCTTACCCAGGCTACCCAGATTAGGTTGCGTAGTGCACACATCCTTAACGCTAGCATCACATCCTTGGTTCTAGCATCACAAACTTTTTTTTTTTAAATTTGTGTGTGTGTGTGTGTGTGTGTGTGTGTGTGTCCAGCTCAGCCCACCAGGGGGCGGGGCGGGCTGGCATGTGGTGCTGGGGGATTGAACCGCGGTCCCTGTGCTTTGCTAAGCTTGTTCCAAATAGGCGCTTTAGACCACTGTGCCATCTCACCAGCGCCCCATCACAAACTCTTGATCCAGCCACCTCCAGAAAGTCTCACCTATGACTGCATGAGGCTTCGGGGAACATCTAAATACAAGCCATAACATTCCTGTTTCCTATTACTTCAGAATGTGACCTCTTTGGGGATAGGGAGGTATTTCAATGCTAGAATATTTAGCTGTCGTGCATGCCACCCTAGGATCCACTCCAGCACTGCCACTCCTGGAAAAAAAAATGTTTTGGAAATTGGGTCATTACAGATATTACTAGTTGAGATCCTATTGGGATGGGATGCACATTTGATGTTCTTTGGCTGGTGTCTTTTCTTTCTTTCTTTCTTTCTTTCTTTCTTTCTTTCTTTCTTTGTGTGTGTGTGTGTGTGTGTGTGTGTGTGTGTGTGTGTGTGTGTCTTTTCAAAAAGAGGACAGGCACAGTTACCAAAATGCAAAAAGTTATGTGACAAACAAGGCCAAGATGGAAGTGTAGCAGCTGTGAGAAAGGTGACAAGGACTGATGCCAAGCACCAGAAACTGAAAGAGAGGAGAAAAAAATTCTCTCCTACAGTCTTCAGATAAAGCCTGATCCTGTGAGAATTTGACTCCAGACATCTGGTCTCTAGAACGCTTTCCATGTTCAGTGGTAACTTGGGTCACAAATGCTTTTGTCTGCAAACAATTTCACTCACAAACTGAAGTGTTTGGCAAAATTTTGTTTTTATTTGCAAACTCTGCACTGGGTGACAAACACGACCATGGCCATCTTTTCTGCAACATGGCTATCCTTTCCAAAATCATGGAACAAATTAAGTTTGTGAAGTGAAGTACCATTGTATTTATTGGGTACTTACAGTCTGTCTTTTCAGAAGTGTTTGTTCATTTTACTTACCAATTTTTTATTAGGTCTTTTATTTTGATGGTCTAACTTGTTTGGATTTCTTTATATATTCTAGATATTTGTTCACGGCCCTAGGAATAATAACTAGCAATTTTTTTCCTTTCTGTACATTGTATCTTCACACTGTTGGTGGTTTTCCTTTCTGTGCAGTACCATTTTAATTTGATCTGATTCCCTTTCTTGATTTTCGGTGTTATCTTTTGTGAAATTGGGATTCTGCTCAGAAAGTCCTTGCCTATACTTGTTTGTTTCAAAGTTGTAGTTATTTTGGGTCAGGAGATAGCTCAGTGGTATAAGCGCCTGGCTGGCAAGTGTAAGGTCCTAAATTCTATCTCCAGTACCACAAAAAAGTTGTAGTTATTTTATCTTCAAGCAGATTAAGTGTTTCTCTTTTGACAGTTAGATCTTTGGTTTATTTTTCTTTTACTAGTTCATGTCTCTTCTGGTTTCATGAATATTAGTATTTTTTTCTCTACTTCTGTAAAGAATGTTGTTATTTTTGCATTGGGCTTGCAATAAATCTACCAGTTTTGGAATTATGGACATTTTGACCATATTGCATCTGCCTGTGTCAGAACAGGTGATATATTTCTATTATCTGATCCTCTTAGATCTTCTCTTCCAGAGTACTTTAGTTTCTATTATGAAGATATTTCATTTTTGGTTAGGTTAATTCCTAGGTATCTAATTTTTCTTGATGCAATTGTAAAAGGTAGCATTTCCCTAATTACTTTGTCAGTGAGTTTACTATTGGTATATAGAAATTACTTATTTTTGTTTGTTGACTTTATATGCTGCTATGATACTAAAGTTTATTATTAATTCTAGAAGTTTTTGATGGATTTTTTGAGTATTCTATGTAGAGAATCATGTCATCTTCAAATAATGACAATTTGACTTCTTCCTTTCCTTTCCATAATCATTTTCTTTCTCTTGCCTGATTGTCCTGTAATGTTTTGAGAACTATATGAATGCTAATGATGTTACCAGACATCCTTATCATGTTCCTGATTTAGAGCAGAAGCTTTCAGCCCCCATAATATAATGTCAGCCACTATTTTGTTGTAAATGGATTTAATCATATTGAGATGCAGTCCTTCTATACCTTTGTCTTCAGGGATTTTATATGAATGGATACTGGATTTTGTCAAAGGCTTTCTCAAGGTCAATTGGGATGATCATGTGATAATTCCTTGCTTTTGTTTATGTGATATATTACATTTCTTGGTTTGTTTATGATGAATCATTGTTGCTTGCACGCTAGAGATAATTCCTACTTTGGTCACAATATGTGACTTTTTTATCATTTGATGCATCTTGCTTGTCAGTTTTTGTTAGATTTTTTTGTATCAATGTCCATTAAAGTAAATGATGTATAGTTCTCTTGTTTGGTTGGGTCCTTTCTGGTTTTGGAATCAGAATAATTCTGGCTTTCAGTAATGATTTTGGGAGAACTCTCCTTTCAATTTCATTGGACAGTTTGAGAAATATAGTGTTAGATCTTCCTGAAGTTCCTAAGAATATTGGAGTTAATCCATCAGAACCAGGTCTTTTCTTCATTGGTTTGTTGGTTGGTTAGTTTGTTGGTTGACTGTTTCCATTTGCTTGCTTTTTGTTTTTGTTCTTCGTTAATCTCATTGTCTGATATTGGATATTAAGAAGTTTTATGTTGGGCCAGCCAAATAGCTCAGCAGATTAAAACACCTGCAAGCAGCAGACTAAAGCTCTTGGGAGGCTGTAATCAGGTGGATCATTACAAATCTCATCTAGTAATGAGGCCTTGAACATCCTGCAGACCCTTCCCTAAAAATACAGAAGAAAAAAGAAGAAGGAGAAGGAGAAGGAGGGGAAGAGAAGGAGGAGGAGGAGGAGGAGGAGGAGGAGGAGGAG